GAGAGAGAGAGAGAAATCGAGTTACTCGCAATACTTGATCGAATAAAATTCATCAGTCGTTAAAAGTTACGACGGATTGTTAAAAAAACTTTTCTGCTCAAACAAAGCGAAACGGAATGGAATTTTATAATTATAACCTATCTGATATATAGATATTATTAGATTAAAAGACACGGATTTCTTTTGAAGAACGAAAAAATTCACTGTGAAAAATCCATTCGTTTATTGAACGCGAGATACTCGAATCGAAATATTGTAATTTATTGAAATTTACATATCGTAAGATAAATATCGATATGCAAACGAAATTAAACACGAAACGACTTTCCCTTTTTTTCCTCCCTTCCTCGTTGCTCGCAAAGAGGAAACGATTCCTTTCCTCCTCCTTTTCACAGTCGACAAAATTTCCCCTTTTTCGAGGAGGAGGGGGATTCGAACAAAAGGAGAGATCGACTTCTTGCCGCGTCTGTCTCTCCGCTTCAGTGGTGGAAGTTGATTTTGGTCGGGCGAGATTACAACCGGAGAGATTAAACGATCGACGGTCGGAGGGTACACACTGTGCAATTATCGAATCGTCGGGGAGGGGGCGAAAGAGCGAGGAAAGTTTCGTTATATATCGATCTGTCGGTGTACCCCGATCGAGGATCGATTCACCTCCGGGAAGGTTGATAAACCGATTCATTTGCGTTCGCGGTTAATTGAAATTAAATTGCGCCCCGATTATAGGACGTCGTCGTTCCATTCGTGCTGCGATATCTAATGCTTGCTCTCGACGTCCTTTTCCTTTCTTTCTTTTCCGTTCGCATACAATATACATCCATTTCTTTTATCCGTTCCAACGTGTTTGCGTTGGACAAGGAATGGAAATAATCGTGGAAATTTCGAATCCTCTCCGAGCATCCCTCCTCAATCGAGAATTTACCGGCCGTGCTCGAAAAGCTCGCCGATCGACCAATTTTTTTTCGGTCGCCTCTTTCGAACAGACCATTCTCTTAAAGTATATCGCATATTCCATCAAAAAAATTATCATATTACGGTGATTTTTTTAAAAAAAGTTGGATATGAACAGTTTTGGAGTTAATGATAAGAAAAATCGAGGAGTAAAATTTAATCATTTTTTTTTATGTTATGGTTTAATTTTTCATCATATTTATAAAATTGTGTAGTTACATACAGAGTTTCATCGTTCTCGAACCATTCATCTCCATCTTTCCAAAATGAATAATTCTGCAAATGAAAATATCTAGTATACTTAACGAAGAAACGTATGTTATTAGAAAGTTAGAAGAAAGCAAGGAGTGGAAATAACGAGAAGAATTTAATCCTATCGATAACTTTACTTATCGTTTCAATGATTCTAAATTTATACTTGTATCAAATTTTCCATTATTCATTGTTTGAGAGATTATATATATATATACCCGACATTAAAAGGGCTGAATCAGATTCTATTGGACGTAAGAGAAATACGATTCGTCGTAGAGAAATGGAGGTCGGTTTTTATATTTTTGAGAGAAAATTCCCGTGTATTAAATGGCCGATTGATATCACCGCGCACCAGTTCACGTCGCGGATTCACGCGTGTCTCCGCCGCTAATGGAATCTTAATTGCAAAATCTATATTAAACGATCGTGTGATTTTCGACAGTGGGCTTGCTTTATGGAGTTCGCTGGAGAAGGGGGCGCATATATATATACATGTATATCTTTGGCTTTGGCGTCACGCGATATACTCGCGGCGAATAAACATTTATCAAAGCAGCCGTGAACATGACGTCGTTTTACGAGAAAGAGGAAACCGATGTTTAAACGCGGTGGAAAGATTCATGGCTGTTTAAGGACAAATAGACGAAAGAAATTTCTTTCTCTCTCTAAAATGGAAACTTTTCCTTTTCCATTTTCTTGCTCGGCGTAAGATCTGCTATTTCTAATTTAAATATATCACCAGCTTAAATTCTTATCTAGGATTGTATATTCGTTATATAATAGTTGAGATTTCGAACAAATCTCGCGTAATTATTAATATAAACTTATTTATAAGAAATAAGAATATCTCGAAGGGCTTGGTTTAAAATTAATCTCATCGTGTTAATTATCACAAAATGAATCGAAAATGATCGAAAGCTGCAATAATAACACAGCGGATTCACAAATGAGCCCGAATCGAAATCCATTTGCCATTCTCTATTTTTCTCTTTCTTTTTTCTCGCATTCGTGCTGCAATTTGAAAATTTTGAACAAAAAATGGAGAGGAAACAGATAAAAAAAAAAAAAGAAGGGTATAGAAATAAAAGAAAAAAGAGAAATAAAATATAGAAACGAAGCCAGTGTACATTGTGTAGGTAAGAAAAAAAAAACTTGTTACCACGTTTCTTGGTGAACGTGTTGTGCACAGTATGCACCAGTGGGTTCCAATGCGATGGGACCAGATGCATTCCGGTCGACTGGCGATGCGACGGCCACTTGGATTGCGAGGATCACAGCGACGAGATTGGATGCGGCGAGTGCGCCGCCTCCTCCTCTTCCTCTTCGTCCTCCTCTGTCTTCACCACCAAGATCGTGAAGAAGCCCATCCTGGCGAAGAACACCGTCTCCAAGTCGCCCTTGCATTGCGGGGAAAAAAGATGTATGTCGGCGAACCACATCTGCGACGGGGTGATGGATTGTCCTTGGGGTCAGGATGAACGATATTGCTGTAAGTAAGCCACCATTTTTGTTTGCGAGCTTCCCATTCGATACGATAGATCAAAGAGAAACTGGATACGGTTTTGTTTTGGAAAAGTCTGTGCAAAGAGGAATTTGCAACGATGCCTGGACAAGTAGAGTGGGATAGTTGCGGTCAGATCTCGAAAAAAGAGTCCTGGTCAAATAAGTAGGTTAATCGCATAATAATCAGACGAGTGGAATATGGCAGAGTACAAGTAGGGCAGACCTGTCGTAGAGCAGTAGACAAGTTTTGAAAGCAGTGATGAGGGCGAAATTTAATAGTTCAAGTTGCGAATAAAGTTATATTTCGATAAATCAATCCAATAATTTACTTGTTCGAAACATAATAATGATCGGAAATGATTGTAGATGAATAAATAAATAAATATTATTCGTAGCTATTTTAATAAGTAATTACTTATCGAAGTAACTTTATTCGAAATTTTTAACTTTTAATTATTTTTTTAATGCCTGCCTACTCTATTTGAAAATCGTGGTTAAACGAGTGATGTAAGCAAGGAAAGAAAGAGGCGAGTAGGATAAGGCAATCGTAGTCAGGCAGGCGAGTTAAATCATTGAGCTATATATAAGATTATCGTAATTAGATTAGTAAGGCGATCATAATCGGAATGAAACAAGAAAAAAACAAAACACTCAACTTTGATATAAATAAAAACAAGAAAAATGTTCGGATACTTTTTAACTTTTATTTCTTATTTCTTACAGTTTAAGCGAATAACAATTTTTTTACTGATATTCCGACAGTGAGATTAAGCCAAAGAAACGGAGACGTGGGCGAAGGAAGGCTAGAAGTTTATCACGCAGAGATGGGCAAGTTTATGCCAGCTTGCATTCCTTACTGGGATTCGAATTCCGCTAAAACTATCTGCTCAATGCTCGGATATACGTAAGCCTCGATACAGAATGCTGATTCCACCAGATGTCCTGTCGAAACAACAGGAATGTATCGGGACGTTTTTTCCAGGGTGGCACTTTCGTACAGGTTGGCGCAAGACATGAATCTCACTCGAAGGGAGAACACGAGTCAGCATACCAATCTTCTGAAGGAATTTCAGGAATGTATTACGGATCAGGAGGCCTATCCCACCGCGGAATTGACGTGTTCGGAATACGGTATGATATTTCTTCCGATATTTCTCCACTTTTTAAATATTTTTCAATTATCGCGTATATATTTGAATCTCGTTCAAGCTTGTGGACGGAGAAATACAGTTTATGGAAACGTAAGGGCGAAAACGAGAATCGTAGGGGGTGTGGAGTCGGCTCCTGGTGATTGGCCATTCTTAGCAGCTCTTCTCGGCGGACCTGAGCAGATTTTTTACTGTGCCGGAGTTCTGATCGCTGATCAATGGGTGCTTACAGCCTCTCACTGCGTGGGAAAGTAAGTTCATTTTCAAGAATTAAAAGACTGAAGATTTGGATAAGAGAAAATAATGGAATTTTGCATTTTTAGTTACTCTGATGTAACTGGGTGGACGATACAGTTGGGGATCACCAGAAGACACTCTCACACTTATCTTGGCCAAAAGCTGAAAGTAAAGAGAGTGGTACCCCATCCAGAATACAATTTAGGCTTCGCTCAGGACAATGACGTGGCCCTTTTTCAGGTACTTAATAATTAAAGGAATTTATTTATATTTCTATCATTATAATATTTCGATAATTTATTATTTTCAGCTCGAAAAGCGAGTGCAATTTCACGAACATCTAAGGCCAGTCTGTCTGCCAACGGCCAATACTCAATTAATACCCGGAACGTTGTGCACTGTGATTGGTTGGGGCAAGAAAAACGATACCGACAGTACGTATCTAAAGATATTAAGATCGTAATCGATTGTAATCATTCTAACCAGATCGATTTGCACAGCCTCTGAATACGAATTAGCTGTAAACGAAGTTCAAGTTCCGGTTTTGAACAGAAAAGTCTGCAATTTTTGGATCGCGTACAAGGAAATGAACGTCACCGAAGGAATGATATGTGCAGGATATCCGGATGGAGGAAAAGACGCATGTCAGGTAAAGACGCGTTTGAGTAAATTTTTTCAATACCTTAATTTTTCCCAATTCATAGAAATTCTTTCTTCTTCAATCAAAATGTTCAACAGGGCGATTCTGGAGGTCCGTTGTTGTGCCAGGACGAACAAGACAAGGAGAAATGGTTTGTCGGTGGAATAGTGAGTTGGGGTATAATGTGTGCTCACCCAAAATTACCAGGTGTGTACGCTTACGTGCCAAAATACGTACCCTGGATACGGAATCAGATGGCCAAGTATTCTGAAATGAGTATGGGTTAATCACGAAAGGTAAAAACCACGAAGATGATGATGACGTTTGTCGAAAATCGAAGAAGTCATCCCGCTGAAGAGATTATCGAGATATTTAATCAAGACAATAATTTAAAACGACAATAAGCTTAGTTGAGAAATAGTTGAGGAACTACGTTATAGATCTTGGAAGAATATTTTCGAGATATTAGTGATTATATACTTAGATAGGCGCGATTATTCAAACTGTTTGCGTTGACCTCTTAGCTTACCAGGGATTCAACTTTGTTACGAAAAGAAGAATAATCGTATTCACTTGATACAAATTCCCTTTTGAATAATATATTTTGAAACGTTGTACACTGGTGATACTTTAGAAGATTATCTTTCTCTGTGAAGACAATACGATCTCAATCACGATAGATGCCTCGAGTTCAAAGTATTCGTATTCTGTTTAACCACGTGAAAACTTTCCTCCTTTCAACGAGTATTTTGTATACTACGAACTCGTAACTTTCTAAACGATGATAAATCTGATGATGATGCAAATGTACGATGAGAAGTTGATCAACGTAGATTTACAACAAATATTTCGCGATCTTTTCGAAACTTTATGACAATAGGTTTATAAAGATTTATCACACATTTTTGCATCCTATTTCCATTTCTACGCAGTGCATACCTTAAATTAGTCGAGTCGATCGATAATTCCCTGTCTACGTTGATCAATTTTTAAATATCCTTCTCTCACTTACGAATAAGAAATTTAGATAAGAATGCAAAAGTAAAGGTGAAATAAGAGGAAACATAATACGGAGGAAGAAAGCTTCAGACAACGAGCTCTCGTCGCCATTTTCTAGAAAGTCAACGCCCGCTTCTAAACTCTAAAGATAAAACTCGATGTAATTATTAAGCGAAACTGTGCAAATTTCCTCATCGAAATTAGAGACAAAAGCGAAGCAAATACAGTCAGAATTTCCGCATCAGATGCGACAAAATAAAATAAGAAAAAGAAAAAAAAATATAAAAAAATAGAATTTTCTATCGCCATCTGTTTTTTGGAAAACAGCGTACGTGCCACCAAGTGGTCGATAATCACGTTTCAAAGGGGTGTGCGTTAGCTGTTCATTAAGAAAAAGTTTCTCTCTGCTCGATCACGAATTTAGAAACTGTGGCAGCTAAAAATAAGAGAAGTACAGATTAAAAGGATTTGTTTTTTTTTTGTAAGAAAAGTGAAAGATTGAAAAATATTATGGCTACTTTTTTACGAGTTTTATAAACGCACACCCAAAGTAAGTGAAATTCTATGCACATATTGCATCAGATGCATTTGTGCACTTATAAACATTTCGTGTACCTATAAGAGATTAATATAGAGTATTATCGATATTAAATTCAGATGTATGTTTGTTAATGTAGGTATAAATTATAATATACATATACGTGTTTAGCGTTGCGTGTATTAACTGTATATTATAATGTAAAGTACGTGTGTAAGTATAGGCAGAGAAACATACAAACGTATGTAAGATAGAGTAATGTAAGTATTAGAATTGTGATAATTGAGTTTGATTCATTTTTAAAGTTTAATTAATTTAATATTTTTATATTTAGACAAGTTTTCCTAATTAATTATTTGATAATTAATAATCAAATATTCGAAATTATTTTATTTGCGGTTTTTTTATAATTGGAAAGAAATTTAAATTCTTCTCTAAATATCGGAAAGAAATTTATATCTAAATTTACTCGTAATTTCCAATTTTCTAATTTCTTAATTAACCCAATTATTTGATTAAAGCCTACGTATCTAATATTCTAATTCTCTCCTCGTGCTCCGAATATATTTATCAGAAATAAAAATATGTTCGAAGCACGAGGAAAAAAACAGTATCTAAAGATTTAAATAATGAAGCGTTGCTTGTAGTAATTTATTAGCGCACTGGCTAGGCTTAAACGTTAGATTAAACACATGTTGACTGAATTCTAGGGACAATACTCTGCACCAGCACTTTTTTGATCCGCACCCAGATGAAATGAGAAAAAGATAACATAGTTTTTAAAAACGAGTAAAAATACTTTGTACTTGATATGTATATTGTTTACGAGAAGAAAAAACTAGGAGCCTTACTAATTGACTTAGACTTTTTCTAAGCGATAAGAATAGCGGTATTGTTGGTCAGGACAATAATCGACCTCGTTTTTTCGTGACGTCATTTTCTTATCCGTGTCTTCCTCCATTGAGGATACTTTTTTATCTTGTTACGAATACGCTTGTTTTTCTACATGAAATATTTTTTTTTTTCATAGGAATATTTCGTAAGGAAAATTTTTCTAGATATTTTTATTTCTTAGTTGAACTTTGAACGAAAATTTATTTTACCAATTCAATAGGTAAAAGTAGGTAATTCCACTTTTTCTCTACCTAATCGACGGCTAATTCCAAAAGGTTAAGACGCTTTGCTCTCCCTTTCAAGTACATTCGAATGATTGTTTTTTTTTTTCCTCTCTCTCGAACAAGATGCTCACTTTTTATCCCCGTTGACACGTTAGAGGATAAAAGTCTTCCTTAGTATCCAGACAACAGGTAGTTGTAAGCGAGGAATAATGTAAAAATTTAATAATAACCGACAATACTGTGTGAGCAGACAATAAATAATATTAGGAAATGTTCCAAGACGGACAATAATTTAGCTCGTAAGCTCGTAGGTTAAATTTTAATCGATAAGGCAGCAGATATGCATGTGATTGTTAAATAATTCTCTCGTGTAAGATCGCTATTATAATCGTTGATTAAGATGATAATTTAAGGAATGGTGGATTTAAATTGAATCGTGCGTTTGATTTTCAGAGATTCTTTCAAAAATTTTTTCAGTTTCTAATTATATTTAGAGAACAAGTAAAAACCAAGTTTCCTTATAAATATAATAATTCTATTCTTTTCCAATTATAGTGAAGTATAATAATTATATAATCGCTAAAAAATCCACCATTATTCCATTCACATAAACTTCTGCCCATTATTGCATGTAATTCAATTAATATTTCCATAAGGTTTGATCAATTTGTACACAAAGGATAAAATCAAATAGAGTTCGAAAGAAAATATATATCGTCATTAAAAATCAAATAGGACAATCAGGAATATTTTCTCGATAAGAATATTTTTCTAAATCGAATAGAATTCTTGGTTTCATCGCTGTACACTATACAAATTTATAACGCGTGACGTGCAAAAAAAAAAAAAAATGATTCTCTTTTAAAATCTAATTTCCAGTTTTATTTCCAGTTTTATTTCCAGTTTTATTTAATCATAGCTTTCGAACATAGAATTTCGATTCGAAATATTGTGATGAGACAACGGTTTGTACGTGAAATCATTTATATAACTATAAAACGATATAATCGCGATAATATAAAGTATATAAGATAATATATATATATATAAAAATAATCTATAAGCAGGTGTTGTTTAAGAGAAGTTACAAATCTATTTTACAGAAATGATATTGCTCGGTTTAGTTGGTGATTCGGTGCCAAAAGGAAAAGAAGAAAAAAGAAAAAAAAAAAAAAAAAAAGGGATCGTATATTTCCGTTGAAACGAAATCGTTTCGCACGATGGATTTTTATATATTTTTTTATCGACGTGACGTAGAAAGAATGACGAGAGAAGCGACGAAAAAAAGATACCAAGAAAAAAAAAAGAAAAAAAAAGAACGTAGATCGTATTGAGAATTGTGAGAGTTCTTGTTTCATTGGATGATTTTAGACATTTTTTACGCGAGAAAAACGTTACAGAGTCAATAACATGTAGTCAATTTAGAAATAGATGTATCGTAGGCACGATGGCTGTAAAGTTTGTACATGTTAAGTACCGTGAAACCTTCGAGTAAACCTTCATTCAGACCATTGCATTTTAGAAACTCTTCGTTGTTCTTTACGAGTTCGATAATTTTTTGGAGATAGAGAAAAAAAATTTTTCTAATTTTCTAGAATTCTTTCAAGTTTCTCAGAATATTTATTTCACTCCTTCGGGATTTCTTCTAATGATCTTCTTCTAAAATTTCCCTTTTAGAATTTTTCTACGATTTCTTTCTTACGACATTAATCCTCCGAAAAATTTTGTAGTAGAACTGTTTCTTCTCGCTATCAAATAATCGAAACGCATTTCCGATTAACTTCCTCAACTACTCGAGGTTGTCACGAACCGCTGCGCACAAAATACTGATGTCCCTAAGGAAGAAGACTCTCCTTCAGAAGAAGATCTTCGAGAGACATTACATTTATATGCGTAAACTACTCCTGTGAAGTCAATGTCGATTAGCGATATATCCTAATAATAATTGTAAAATTAAAAATAATAATAATAATAATAATAAATAAAAATGGAACTAGGAGATAAGATTAAGCTGTTTAAGCAAAACGGTATACTTATACACAACAACAATCTTAACACACTCTAAACAATTATTTGTACGTGTTTCGATCGTGAACGATCATATATGAAATGTTTAAAATACAAACAAATAAAAGAAATTTAGTTTTAAGAGTAGGAAGCGAAGGAAAAATTGTGAAAAAAATTACATAATGAGTTAATCGTGGGATTAAAAATGATTTATAAGAGAAACCATCTATACGCAATCGTCACTCGAGCTTGAAGGTTGATACACGTCACTGTGTAATTACTTATCGAATCAACGGCCGATTGAACCCGGATCGATCAAATTATATGTCAATTCGATGTTCAGACGGATGAACGAAGCGAAATAGAATTATTTTGTCGAAAGTAAAAGGATATTGAGAGGAGGATTAACGAAGTAGATTAACGTATTAATTAACAAGATTCGATTCAGCCGAGTGTTACGTTAGAAAAATAATCTGCTCTGTGATTTTTCTTCGAAAAGGAATTCTTCTCGAAAATTTTCTGGATCGAAATTGATTAATCGAATCGAATAATTTCCTATATAAAATAACATCAAATTATGATTTCGAATAATATAATTTAATCCTCGAATCAAACAAACAAATTTTCTCTTTCCTTGCGAGATCAGATAAGAGCAGTGGATCCCCCCTCCTCGAAATCGTTCGACGGAAGAGTCGAAGAGTTAAAATGTAAGCACACTTGCACACATGCCTAAATTAGTCGCGTGCTAAACAAAGCATTTATACTACTACGCTACGTGTCTCGGCCCCGCGTTCTATTCGATCGGATCCCCGTTGAAACAGTTAACAACGACATTGACGAACAATCATAGCGAAGAAATTATAGCCAAAGAATTAACTTTTAATAAA